ATGATGTTGCGAGTTCCTCTTCGATTTGATTTTTTAGCTGTGACAGCGAGATGAAATCCCAACTGGTTTTGGTTTATGGAGACAGAGGAGCGAGAGCGGGTTTTGTATTCGTTTAACCTTTTTCTTCATTTTGAATAGTTTTGCTGTTTTACTTTGTATGTGTTTTCATTTTACATGCAGGTCGAGGATTGATTAGCAGTTCTGGTATAGATTCAATATCGGCACAATGTTCCCGGACTCCGTCTTCCGCAATATATTGTTATCTAGCTGGTCATCAGTATGGCTCTCCTGCAATAACAAGGAAACAGAATAATAGCAATCCAAATGTTTTGACGTCGTCCGTGCTCGCAATATGTGACAACCACGAGGATAGCAGTTGGAACTCGCGTGAGGTCTTAAGGTTTCGACGCCGTAAGTTTCTCTTGTGGCTGCAGTTCATTGATAACAAAAGCATAACAGTCTCCTCTCCAAGATTGTGCAAAAGCTTCGTCGCTACTCTCGGTATAGACTGTTCTCGCCGCAGCTCAACTTTCCCATAGAGGCTCATCTGCAATGCTTGATTTCATTTCTGTTTTGGTGTCGGTAACATTTCGAAGTGGCAATTTTCTTACATCCCATCTCTGTTTCCTGTGTGTTTTACATTTTTAGTACATGTTATTATTTTTATTTTTGTCTTAAGCTATATTTCGGTGGCTGTTAAATGTTTCATTGCAGTCAATAAACATGGTATGTGAATTGCGGAATTGCTGCACCATGGCTTGTTTTTTTTACTGTCAAAATAAATATGTTGGCTTTGATTTTGTTTTGCAAGTCTATACTAATTCCAGGTAATTGATGACGTGATTATCTAATGGTTGAGAGAGTTAACTCTTGGTTTTAGACTTTGCGGCAAGTTGCGTGCGAGATTAGTTTTATTCAATGCCAGATGTATTGAGGAAAACAGGACGCATTATGCATATTTGGATTGAATACAAGACCACGGTTATAATAACTTCTCAAAGGCGCACAAAATCTATGGCAGAGCTCTAAACAACAAGAGTTCAAGTTATTTAAGAAGGAAGAATTCAATTTGATGTGGATTATTGTTTTGACTTGGTTATTTAATTTTGTTAATACATCTTAATTAACTTAATTATTTGAGTTAATCGGATAATTTAGATAATTAATTTTGATTAACTTAATTAATCGATTAATTGAATTCCAATTATTTAAAACTTTTTTTTTCAAAGCAAATTAAGTTCTTGAAGTCTAGCACTTCTTGAATTTTTTGGATAGTCATTACTAAGGTGTACACCTTAAGTAGTGTATTATTCGACCTCTCATTTTCAAAATTATATTTTTTAACAAAGAAATGTCATGAGAATTTAGCATTCTTTGTGATATTTCCTTTGTTCATTCAAACTTTTTCCAAATGAAAAAGGTATCGTCGAGATCCAGCATTTCGGTAATGCCCCAATTAATTGGTTGTGAGGCCCGCGTCTCATTTATCAAATAATTGTCATTTCTCTAATTTTCAAATCCAATATCGTCCTCACATCTCGTACCTTAAACTTTTTTCTACCTCATTTCAATTCAAATCTTTTTTCAAACTATTTTCTTTCCGTTTCAAACTTCGAAAGGAGGAGATTCTTGGAGTCTAGCATTCCCTGAATTTTCGAGTGAATAGCTCTCGAAGCACGCCCTTTGGGTTGTTATTCACTCAACCTTTCGACTTTTTCAAACTCAATCATTCTCAAACATTCTCCTAAGTCGAATGCTCGTCCGCATCCGCAACCCACACATTCATAATTCCTCGTGGTCTCGATATTAGGAGCACCCTCAGGGACTAATATCGTTTCTCACAACCTTAACCCTTGACACGTCGTCAAGCCGGTTCCATCTTCAATCAAATCTTCGACACGTCGTCGAACCAGTTCAAAACAATTCCCTTTTGGCCTCGCATGCCATTCTTCGATTCGATCCTTTCACAAACACATTTTTTTAACTTACGGAAGAGGGATATTCTTAGAATCTAGCATTCTTTGAATATTCGAACGAGTAACTCTTGGGCGCGCCCCCGAGTTGTTATTAGTCCATTCTTTCGTTCTCAAGATATCTAACTCTTATCTTCAACTCATTCAACCCAATTTCCGAAAGAACTGAGTTCTTGGGATCTCGCATTCCTTGAATTCTTGAATGACAAGCTCTTGAGGCACGCCCTTAGGTTGTTTGTCATTCACTCTTTCGTCTCTCAACTCAACGTCAAACCAATTCAAACCTCATCTTTTCGTGGTTGTTACCACGAACTACGGACGCTCTGATTCTTTATTCATTCTTGAATATAAGATACGTAGGCACAAGATTGCGATGATCTTGGCGAGCACACTTCTATCCACCTTCCATTTTTCCCCATCCTTTCCCGTAGTCGAACTACGACGCTCTGATTTCTCATTCTCGTCCGAATGAGCATACGTAGGCACAAGGGCCCCAATCCTTGGCGAGCACCCTATCTTCTAACCACCCACCTCTCCTTAGCGTCTTTAACCTTTTACCCTACCAATTCTACCTTTACCAACGAGAAGAAAACAAGTAAACCTAGACGACACTCCCCACAATTACCTTAAGAGGTTCCCGTCGAGTACGACGGACGTGAGGGGTGCTAATACCTTCCCCTCACGTAACCGACTCCCGAACCCGGAACTTGGTTGCGACAGCCCTGTTCCTATCCTTTCGTTTTAGGAGGTTTTCTCGATATTTTCCTCTCCCGTTTATTTTGGGAAAAATAAAGTTCGGTGGCGACTCTGTCGAACCGCATTTCCGCGCCTTTCGCACGAGGGTCGTATTCTCCGAAATATCTCCGTGATTTTTCGAGGTGCGACACCCGATACGCTCGTTCTGTTGGAACATCATCAAATTAGTCTGGTTGATGGCTGCAAAAATGGAAGTCATCGTCGGATCCGCCCCTGCTGGTGTGGGGACGAGCTAGAAAATAGTTGGGCTCCTTGCTCGAGGGGAGACGTTGCATGTCACGTCGTCGGATGAAAGAGAGACAGTCTGTCCGTCTCTCTCGTCACCGTCATGGTTGTTGACGGGCCCACCATGGTCTTCACCGTTGGTGAACGGGTCAAAGGCGGAATTATGGACAGCATCGTCGTGGCGTGGGATGGTCATGATCATAGAGTTGATTAAGTTGATGAAAGCTTTGATTCTACTGCTCAGAAGAACGGGGAAGCTTTGATTCCCATAGACGGCGCCATTGATCGTACCTGATCAGAAGGGATCACTGGTCTGCCACGCGTCGTCGGCTGGTAACTTCCACCGAAGGTAGGGAGAAGGAGGGGGTGTACCTGCAAGGCACTCTGATGCTTAAGTAAGTAAAAGATCAGAGTGGGAGAGCAAATACAGAAGTAGGTGTAGAATGGAATACCTAACCCTCTAGTGAAAGAGGGTATTTATATAGAGACCCTAGCGCATGGCTAATGGTTACTTGGGTCGGGCCTGGCAACAGTGACTTGGATTGGGCCAGACTGCCAGGCCCAACCCAAGCAACTGATAGGGATTACGTGGCATAGTGAAGACCAGCACGTGGTCTTCGCCCTAGATCAACTGCCCAATGATCTTCGGAAGGTGGACTGACTAACTCTTTCGAAGGTGGGTAGTTGCCTGGTGACGTGTTCTCGCGTGGGAGAGCACGTGGAGAACGTGGGGAAAACGTGTGGATCTGCCCGTCAAGGGAGTTGTCTGCCCGACGTATGTGGCTTGTGCCCGACACGGGAGGATTGAGCCTTATTGGGTCTTCCCAACGTAGTGTTGGATTGGGCCTGCCCGACTGATGGGCAGGTCCTGGCCCAGTCCAGAACATTTATATTTCATTTGATGTTAAAGGTTTAGTTTTTACTTGAGTGAGCCAGAGATCACTTTCTTAGTGGAATTGAAAATAAAAAATTAATGGAGAGTTATTATGATACCAAAAAAATGAATTAAAATGTACTTCTAAAAAAGGTGGGGATGTAAAGTGTAAACACAATTTCTCTTTTTTTTTCTAAAATTGTCATATTGTCAAATTTGCAGAAAAAGAAGAAAAAGACATATGTAGTGAGAAGAAGAAAAAGAAGAAAAAAGATTCATTTATTATTTAGATTTTTTCATTTTTAAGGTTTAGGGTTGTTGGAAGTTTGTGAATTTTATTTTATGAGTAGAATGTCTTTATGAATTTTTTGGGTTGAAGGTGATGATAGATGAGTTTATAATTTTTTTGGATTTGGATGATATTTTTGTATGTGGTGAAGATAAATGTAATGTGTATTTCTTTAATTATTATTAGTTAGTATTTATTAATAATTGGGTAATATTTAAATTGAAATATAAAAGATTACATGTTGAAAGAAATAATGAAAATACTGATTTTATGTCATGTCATTAACTTGACAACTATTTAAATGACTTGATATCTGATCGACCATACTCAATCGAAATTTTGAGCGCCACATAATCAAAATAGGAGGGGAACTAAAAAAAATCTCAAAAAGTGGCAATTTGAGGGATTAAAAGGCTGAAAAAATTAAAAAGGGGACTAAAACGTTAAAAATTTGTAAATAGAGAGACTAAATGTGCATTTAAGCCAAAAAAAATTTACACTATTAACCAATGACTATCATGCATTCCGACAAATTATATTAAAATTTTAAACTAGTTATATAACATGACATATTGATATATTTCTATTTAATAACAGTGTAAAATAATTTTATACTGTGAATGCATAACAATTAAATCTTTTAAAAAATAATTATTTTTTTATAATAAAGAGAATAAATATTATATACTATTCCTCAATTGTCATCCGTACATCCTTTTACACACTAATATTAATGTATAGTTTACTTTTTGTTCACTTTTCCCACTTGCAATTTGCCTCCTCCTTCTCTATATATTTCCAATACTCTCCTCTACCAATTTCACATTATATAACAACCCCTTTCCAAAGAGTTATTAATTTTTCCAATATAGAATAAATTTACATGTTCGAACCGCAACACTTTCAACCTCTCAGTCACCATAATCAGCTTACGGTGAAGATGAATAATACAGTGAAAAGAAGAGAAATGAAAAACCCTAAAGAAGAAGAGAAACTCCAAGTTATGGACTTGAGTGGCATGTCCTTGGACTCTCTTCCAAAATCTTCACTTCATTTAGCCATCATTTCTAAACTTGACCTATCTAATAACAATCTAAAGGTATGTCTCCATAATTATACATGTGTTTTGAGATGTCGCAGATTTGAAACCGTTATTTGAAGTTTGGTGTTCTTATATATATATATATATAAAAATTAGTTCTAATAAATTTTTGTAAATATGTAACTGAAACTTTTATTGTTTAACGGTGACAGAATATTCCAGAGTCATTAACGGCGAGATTACTGAACTTAGAGATGTTAGATGTGCACTCCAACCAACTCAGGTCTCTCCCAAATTCCATTGGTTGTCTTTCCAAGCTCCAAATTTTGAATGTCTCTGGAAATTTCATTGAATCTCTTCCTGCAACCATTGACAATTGCAGGTTCGATTTTTGTTTTTTTTTAAATTTTCTTACTGTTTTTTAAGAAGTTAATTTATTTTTCTATTATATATACATATAATAACATCTGTGTATATATAGGTATTATTACTTTCTTTCCACATATATATTATTTGACTTCAAATTTTAAGGTGTTGACATTTATTAGAATAACTTCATGTTCAATATTGTGCCTTTTATGTCTTACTGCAAGAAATATTTTGTTTAACTGAATAATTTATGATTATTTATTGAAAATTTAATTGTATGTTTTCAACTGCTTAATTCTAGATCTTAATTAGTTTGAAGAAAAAACTAAAATTCCTTTTGTTAGAATTTATTCTGAAAAAATATTTTTTTTTATAAAGTGTAATTATTTTAAAAAGTTTTCGTCTATCTTTTACATAACTTTCAATAAATAAATTAAATATGTTCTGTCTGTCTCAAAATAAATTTTTTTAAAATTGAATATACATAGATTAAAAAAAAATAATGATTAAATGATTAAATATAATAATTTTATAAAACTGTCATTAATTTTATTGGTTGTCATAAAAGTATAATAGGTGATGTAATATTTTAAAAGTAGTATAAACAATATTATTAAGGATAAAGTTGATAAAAAAATAATTAATGTTGTATTGAAAACTAAAAAAAAGAAAAACTTGTGACAGTTTTTTCAAAAAAAAAAATTCGATTGAGAGAGTATTTAAGTTTTTCCAAAATCACAAACTTTTGAATTTTGTTGAAAACTAAAATCATCAATATTATGCAGAAACAAAATTTAATAAAGACTAGGCTTAAAGGTCCGTAGTTTTATAAAACTTAAAAAATATCATTTATTTTACAAAGACTATAAAATATATTTAATTCTTTAAAAATGAATATTTGGGGGAAAATATTATTATTTCAAATGAAAACTATTTTTAATGACTTTTTTAAAAATTAATTTTCTATATTTTTTTAAAAATAATTAGTATTTAAAAATCTAAAATACTAATTTTAAATGATCGAATATCAAAAAAAAAAATTTCTAAATGTCAGTGGGTCCTAAATAAAATGAATTAACAGTTTAATAATGCAACAAGTATGTACTCGTACTTAAATAAACATTATATTTATAATTGAGATGTAAACAGCTGAAAAATAAACTAAAAATATAGGGTGTTCAATATTTTAATAAATATCTGATTTTTTTTGGTACCATATCTAATCATATTTACTTTCGCATCATCATATGATGTCACGCAAACAATAAAGTAAGACGGAAAAATTGAATTTGATGCAAATTGATATTTTATCACAATATTTTACTCAATGTTTTAAAAATCGAATATAGATCAAACTTTAAGACTTCTAAAATCAATGCCATAACGTGGAATACATGGTTGTTTACGTATGTGAATTTTGACCAACCAGAGCCTTAGAAGAACTGAATGTTAACTTCAACATGCTGAGCAAGCTTCCAGACACAATAGGCTTTGAGCTCATAAGACTCAAGAAGCTTTCAGTCAACTCCAACAAGCTCGTGTTTCTTCCTAGCTCCACCTCTCACCTTACGGCTCTGAAGGTTCTCGACGCGCGTTTGAACTGCCTCAGGAGCCTCCCCGACAATCTCGAGAACCTCATCAATCTTGAAATCCTAAATGTGAGTCAGAACTTCCAATACTTGGAGTCTTTGCCCTACTCCATAGGGCTCCTCTTGTCTTTGGTTGAGTTGGACATTAGCTATAATAGTATCAAAACATTGCCGGACTCCATTGGGTGCCTCCAGAAGCTTCAAAAGTTAAGTGTTGAGGGAAACCCGCTCAGCTCACCTCCACCGGAGGTGGTGGAGCAGGGATTACATGTGGTGAAGGAGTATATGCGTCACAAAATGAACTCGAGAGATAATGTCTCAACGAAGAAGAGATGGTGGATGGTGAAATGTGGAACCTTCAGTGGACACAACAGAAATAGAAAACAAACAGAACACAAAGGTTTTAGCATGCTTCAATATCAACCAATGAATGGTCTTGCAACACCAGGCTTCATGGGAAAGTTGTCACCTCTTCGCCTATTCTCACCCCGCCGTTCCTTCAATTGAGACGCCATAAAATATTTTGTAAAATATATGTATAAAATCTCTGCATGTTAAGATAGTTTTCAAAGCATTGTTGATTTTGAATTCCAACAATCAGGATATGGCCACTGTAAATGAGAAGAAGAATTGTTGGATAGGTTGTATTGTATGTATGCAGAATATTGTTAGTGTATCATGGATTTGAAAATGGTGGATTTGTAAAACTTCTTCTAATGTAAATTAATAGCTCATTACAGGTTCTTTTTACAGTTCTGTCGTCGTTATAATGCTTTAACACGTTGCTAATTTTTATTTAAGGCTAGAACGAAAACGATTCACTGCTTGTGATAATAATCAATAATGGAATGAGAAAGTCTAAGCAACGTAAATCATTAAGTTGAAGATAATACAAGAATGAGAAAAACTCCAAGTAAAAATAGCTGAAACTATAGCAGTTCATACACGTTCAACACACACATATAAACTAAGGACATGCTTCTGAAAATCAAGATCAACGGTAGACACAATCATGGAAAAATTACTTACGCGTGAGATTTCTAAGAGCTAGTTTGTTTTTGACTTTTTTTATTAAAAAAAAATGTATTATTGTAACATATTTTGGTGTAAAAATTAAAAAAAAAAAAATCAAACTTTTCATAAAACTTCCAAATGACAATAGAGAACAAAAGGGAACCTTCAATCTAAATGACAACAGAGACAATGGTAAGAGGAAATAGGAAGAAATTCAGTGATAACCCCAAATTCTAATGTACAGATTGAAAAGAGAATGGAGGAAGAGATGAAATTAGTTGGGCTAAGAGGGAAGGGAGGGAGGGTAATCGGGGAAGATACAATGGAGAGAAATCCAGACCTCTTAAGTTGCCTGGGATAATTTCTTTTCTCTGGTCCTTGAGATTTCCAAACGTTTAACATTTTATACAGTTATCTGCTACTGATAATTAACCAAAGCTCAGTAAGTAATACAAAGCTCGAACACATTACATTTTATTTCAGTTCTATCGCCCATGCATATACCCAAGCTAATCTAGAGTCTATCAAAAAAAATCTTTCAAGTTTTCTGAGGTAAAAATTAATAACAGTCGACTAAGACTTGGTGTGATGCACAGACTTGTTGCCATAAATGACCAAGAGGTCATGGATTCAAATTATGCAGTTAATCTTTTGCAAAAACAAAGTGAAAAAAATCTACAAAATTCACATTGAGCATAATCCTTTCCTAGACCTACTATTACCGAAGGTTTATAGCACTATGTTGCCATTTTTTCCACAAAACCAACATCTACAAAAATAAAAATAAAAAATGTCAGTAAAACACAAGAAAAGTAATCATTTAAAGAAAAATTAGTGAAAAATTTCCTTGTGTTAATGGCATTTAAAACCTTGAAGCTATCAGCTTGGACCGGTGTCCACCTCAAAAGGGTAAAACACAAGTTCACTTGACTGAGCCTCAATATGGATTTGCAGCTTCAATATGGCATCTAATATGATGATGGGTTTTTCTTATAGAAAAAGAAACTGCTCCATTTAAGTTAAAATATTAAGGTATAATAATCTGGAGGCAAAGCAGCCTCAATGTGGTTCGGACTATTCCTGAGATCAAGTTGCCTCCAAGAGACTTGGTGCCACTCGAACCAAGGCTATGTTGACAAATTCATATATGAAAAGGGCTACCATAAACCAATTTCCTTAATCACAAGTGAAATTAGAACGGAAAAGAAATAAATAAATAAAAGCTTTCAGATATATTAGCAGGATAAGACACATTGATCTCTCATCTTAATGCAGAATCTCCCCTCTTATTTGCTTGTAGGACTGAGTTATCCTTTACATCAAGTGACCTCAAAGCCTACTTTGCTTTAATAGTACAAAAGGTTAACAGCAGAAAGAAAATCAACTGTCAACACAAAGGTATGTAATAAGTATATTTGAGTTTATGAGGAAAGAATGGTTAATAACCATTGGTTATCATAGAGTCACTCGACAATGAAGAAATATGCAATTTAGAGAACTGATACGTATCTTATGTATCTAGGACGTATGGCTTTTTATGTTATTATTAAAAATAAAAATAAAAGAAATAGAAGTTTGAAGAGAGCCTGACCTTAGGAAAGGGATTAGATTTAAAATAAAGAGGTATACTACCATACCAGACAGAGAATGGCAGGATCATCCTACAAGTAAGCAAGAAATGCATGTAATGAAATCACAAAACACAACACAATCAGCCTATCTATAAACAAATATGCACTCCACTTTTCATGTCTGGTCTTTCATTCACCAGAATTGCTTGTAACCTATAGCCAGACAGTAACAACCACCACAAGAAGTATTTGCACATCAATGCAATCAGTAAAAATGAAAACATCCAAGTAGCACAACATGTATCTATACACACTCAACGTGTATCACAAACCAATGTTTTTAATCACAATGGTTTGTTCAAATTCCAATACCCTACGCCATTGTTATAGCATCTATTCGACAACATTTTGTACTAAACCGTGTATCCGCTTTGTTCAGATTCAACTATGTTATGGTTCTATACACCAATATAGTTGCTATTAAAAACATTGACAGAAATCACAAATTCAACCCCAGATATCATTGCACATAAAAGAAACAATAAAAGCCACATAATATAACCACAACAATTTTTTAAGCCAAAAATGTAAACCCAAATTTCAAGTATACTAAACCAACTAAAACACCTTATAGTGTATAAATATCAGAAAATCAGATCGAATCACTATAGGCATTTCAATTCAGCAACCCTAATCTATCATAATTGGGAGCCAGAAATTATCATAATCTTAGATAAATTCAAACTACAAATTCAACAAAAAAAATACCAAAGGAACGAAATTCAGCTAAGATAAGCAGGGATCTTGATGCGAACGAAGAGCATACTCATAACATAAGCAATAACAATCGACGTAACACCGGCAGAAGCATAAGAAACCTTAACAGATCTATCACGGTTACGATCAAGTGCAAGATCCAGCATTATGATACCGATTCCACCGAGAACGAACATGAATCCAGAAGAGAGACCTTCGATGATGTACTGGCCGTTGACACGGCCGGACATGAAAACAACAGGTCGTACTGAACCGGTGTAGGGATCCTGTGTTGAACCAATGCCGGGAGGCTCCACGATGATGTCGTAGACGATGCCGGAGACGACCATGAAGTAGGTGAGGAGGACGAGGGCGAAGACGACGTTGGATGAGGGGAGTGATATCGACGGAAGCTTCAAGCGGAGACGCGGTGGACGGAGGAAGCTGAATGGAAGAATCCGAATGACGTGGAAGATCGGATCCATTGATCCGGCGGAGGATGAGTCGGTTGCGGTGAAGGATGAAGTGTGTTGAACCGGGTTCTCCGACTTGGGTGGCATTTTTACGGGTCGGGTTAGCACAGTTTATGTTAACGAGAGTTCTGAGTTTATGAGAGTGCCGGGCGAATAAAAACTCCAAAATGGATTCTAAAAAAGATAAAATTCCAAAATGGATTTCTTTTTCCCTTTTTTTTTTTATTTTAATTTTTTCCCTTCTTTCACACTCAAAATTTTATTATTTATTTTTGACGGTATAAATATATATTTATATTGATTACATATTTACACCCTTTAAAAAATTACATATTTACATTTATTAGGGCTCGTGTTCGCAAGACTCATGGCAAAAGTTTTAGAGCAACTTTATATAGAAAGACACACAAAATAGATAAATTTTAACTTTAATTAAAAGAAAATGATTTCATCCTCCTAACATTATTTACCGTTCAATTCAATTAATCAGAAGGTTTTCTTCCGAGTGTGAACGGCTCCAACTGTTTTTCATATATAATGGGAAAGTGTGTCATTTCAAGTATTCAAATTTATTGTCACTGTCACATTACTTCTTATTCTCTCATTGACTTAAACTTTAGAGTGTTAACTTTGCAATTTTTTCCTACTCCGTCGTAACAAAAGTATTGTTACACTACCTCATCTTCTATTTCTAGTTCCAACGAAACAATATTTTTTATCACAACTCATATTTAGTTCTTAGTATTTCTTAATTTTCATTATTTTTCTTTAAACGACAAGAAATTGTTATATTGTTATTAACTTTACAAATTTGTAAACTATTAGATAATATATTAAGAGTTTTGATTATAATATATAGGGGTCATACGTGTTGTAATGGTATAATTGTAAAAGATCAAAAATAAGGTGATACAGAGGATCCGCTAAGGGGAGGGGACACAACATGTCACATTCACCAATCTCTTAGCCGCTCATTAATTAGGGTGGACACCCATTGTAACACTTGATTTATTTAATTAATTTTAGTAGTTAAATTGTGTGAAATGTATATGTTATTTGATGTTTGATGTGTTTCAAGAACCCTTTGGTGTGTGGTAGTGGCCTTAGATAATAGAATTTAAGGCGTTGGGGTGTGTGAGTAAAGGTGTAGAGACATGGGGGTGATGAGAGAATTATATTGTTATTATTATTATTTAAATTAGGATCATATTGTTGTACCCCCAAATTTGCCCAACCTTTTCTTTGCTTGGTTTGTGTTGCATTTCATTTTCTAGCATTTGCATTTGCATAGCATTGTTCATTTACAGGGGATTAAGGGAGGTGTGCATAGCAAGATAAGGTTACCAAGGGTTCTAAGCCTAAGCAAGAGGTCTTATTCAAGCATGAGTGCTTATCTTCATCAAGAGAATGTCAAAGCCCTTTGAGAGGGTGGATGGATAGTTGTGGTGTATCTTCTATCTTAGGGATCAATTGAGGATTATCAAAGGATCATGAGTCCATGGTTATGGGTGGAGAATATTGTGGAAGATCATTAAATTCTTTGAGGGCCATGGTGGATCTTATTCAAGGGGTTGTATCATGTGCAAGAAGGCATGCTCAAAGGTGGTGCATCTAGGATTTTTATCTGGTCAACCCTAAGTCAACTATGGATTTGAAGGAGATTAAGACTTATTTCTAAGTCATTGTGATCATGGAAGGTTGTGTTGAAGCATCTAAGATGTTATTTCAAGATCAATTCATCAAGAATCAAGAGTGTGAGAAGTTGCTAAGTTAGGGTTTCTAAGCTTGTCAATGTAAAATTCTTTGTTTAGTGCCTAACTTCCAGACCACATATCTCAAGATACAAGGCTCGTCTCATCTTGATGCAAACATGAGACTTGTAGAGCATGTTCTTAGCTTTATTTTGAGTACTAGAACTAATCCATTGGGTTTGTGGAACTCAATATATGGTGCTGACAAGTTACAGGTCTTCAAATGAATGTATTTTCATTCAACCAACTTCCAAGGAACGTTTGACCTAGAATCATGTTTCTCCTTACTTTGGCCCAAACATAAAAGTTGTTCCTTATGATCTTAGCTTTCCAAAAAGTCCTAGAAGTCCTTCATCTGATTTGTAGAACTCAAGATATGAGGCCTGCAAGGCAGGGGTATTTTGGGAAAGTAAGATTATAGGCCATTTTGGTTATAGGTCATTTTCATGACTTTGCACACTTCAAATGCAACTTTGTCCAACATGGAACTTGCATAAAATGACTTAATTTTCATCACCAAACATCGATTTGCAATGGATTTGGCATGTATGGGAGGATTGGTAAAGGAATTCCATGAAAAAAGTACTTTAAAAGGCATGGCATGAATTGAATTGTTTTAGTTCTTTCTTATACCATATTTGTGCATATTTTGAGTCCCTTTAACACACTAAGAACAATGCACAACTTGGACTTGAGTTATGCAAGCTAGAACTCATGGAATTTCAAGTAACTTCAAGTTGAAGTTACACATTCAAAATCAGCCATTAGATCAAATTAAGGATTCATTTCAATCCACACGATCAAAGTGAAGCACCAGCAACTGATTTGAATGATTTCCCAAGGGAATTGGCGCCTGTTTCATGTGTGTATGAAGCTTCCAACTCAAAATATGGATTTCTTTAATTCTCCATAACCAGGCCAAATTGGGCCTCCAAATTACTTCTGATCCATAGTATAAAAGGTTCTGATGAAGATTGAACCCTCATTCGTGCATTTTGGTGGAGAAAACGCATAATTACAGTTGCAAAATCCAAGTGAAAAGTGAAATCGTGATTTTGGAATTCAAGCCAAATCAAGATCACCAATAGCTTCCTTGAAGATCATTGGTCGTTTCTGGATCATTTTGCACAAGATTAGCATCAATTCAAGACCCAACAGAGGAGCTTCGTTAGGTAAATTTCCTTTCAAGAATTCTCCCTCATTATGCATCTATTTAACGCCATTCTTGCTGCATATTGAAGCCCTACGTATGTAGGCAAAGTCTGGATAGTTTTAGGATGCGTTTATGCAAGTTTCAATTATGGTGTGTGAACTTTAGGGCTTCGTATCTCTCTGTTCTTGAGGAATAAATGAAAACAAACCTTAGATTCTTAACCTACGTGACGAGAGCTTTCAAACGGTATAAGATTTCGCGTGTTTTGGTTCAGTGTAGCACCTTCGTCTCTAGTGGCTTGATTGGGGAAGACGACCGGAGCACAGTGGCTCCGACATATGGTTTTTAATTCGGCTGATGACGTGTCTATACCACGCGTGCGCTGACATTTTGACTTAGATAGAATGGACGGCCACGATTAGTTTTGAGTGGCCTGATAATTCTTTGACTTGCCACCTCATTAATTGAACGTTGCGTTTTGCTCATGGATCCTGATGGTCTTAGTTTGGGCCTGAATCACTTTTAGCACCCCCTCTCCATAGCAGCCCAAGGAAATGAACTAGGAAACTTGCTATTTGACACGCCTGCATTTTCTTTTTATTTTCCTTTTTCAATTAAAACCTGTTTTGATTTTAATCCATTAAAAATATATCCAAGTGTTGTAAAATTCCACAAAAATAGTTTTTAGACATTTTAGGATGTTAAATAATTTTTGGTATTTTTTATTTCCATTTTACTTTTATTTTGCAATTAAAAATGGAATTAACACTTGGATGTGTTTTTAATTGATCTAAAATGGATCCTTTTTGTTCTTGATTTTATTTCTTGGTCAATTTTCCTTTCCAATGGCTGGAATTTTTTTCCTCTTATTCATGAGGGATTAAAGGATTTTTTAAGACCATTTTACCCCTGTTTGGATTATTTTTGGTTTGGTTTTGATACCACTTTTGATCACCCCCGATTAATCTTTTTCCTTTGAACCCCTTTAGGGTTTATTTTCTTTTGTGCATGTTTTGGTAGGACCCTGACCCTATGATTTTGGCCATTGGTTGCCAACTCCTTTAGGGTCATTTGGGATTTTATTTGAGCATTTTTGAACCATTTTCCTAATTTTTTGGTAATTTACAAGTTAGGTCACCCCTTATGAAGGTTCATACATATTAATGACCTAGTTTGCTTTGGAGATGACATTTATGGATCCATTGATCCATCAACTCTTGTTGATTCACACTTCTAACATATTGAAGTGTTTGAATGCTCATACCTTGTTCATAGCTTGTTCAAGTTTGTGCATCTTTTAGAGCTTTCCATTAGGGTTTCACATGTTGCATGACTTGTATTCTTTTGTGTAATAGCTTGCATTTTCTTCTTGGGCATATGCTTTTACTTTTGTTCATCCTTCTCTCTTCCCTACCTCTGTCCAATGACTTAAGGACACCATTTGAGATAGCTTATTCTCTCCTTAGGAGGTACTTGAAGCATGTCTTAGAAGGTGAACTTTTAGGACACTTTTTTGTGCTTCTTTTGCACAAATCATGATGATGCTTTGGTTGAATGATATTTTGGGCACCTTGTTGTTCCCATCCCCTATTCCAATCTCCCTTTGATTTAGGGTTCATTCTCTTTTCATTTTCATTTCCTTAGGGCAAGTGTGGTTGATGATTGAGTGGCTTAGGCCATTTCATCCCACTTTTGTGTATGTGTTTGCATTCATTTGTATGCATTTCCTTCTCTCTTCTTCTTTGCATTTCCATGTACATGCTTGAGGTTGAGATGGACTTGTGGAGGCTAATTCCCCACACTATTTTCCTCCCTCACTATCATTCTAATTGTGCATTAATGTTTGCATACTTCTCGTGTTTATGCTTCCTTCTTCTTATTTCTTCTTTTTCCCTAGGATTTATAATCTCCTTGTTTAAGGATGATTATGATAGACATTAGGTTCTAACCATGCATGACAACAATAGGTAGCTTTCCCTTACCTCAACTTTAGGTACACTTTGCATGTTAACTTTAGGGTTTGATTTAGTCCCCTTTAGAGTCCTTCTCTCTTCTAACCTTCAAACAATCTTAAAACACTTAATAAAGGTTAACGAATGTTGTATGTTACGAGCCTTAAGTACTTGGGAAATAGTGATTGGGGGGCTTCCTCTCAATTGCTTAAAGTTTTTAGTATACGTCCT